TGGTGGTGCATGCCTGTAGTTCCAGCCACTCGGGAGGCTGAAGCAGGAGAATCACTTGAACCCGGGAGGTGGAGGCTGCGGTGAGGCAGAATCGCTTTAACCCGGGAGGTGTATGTTGTGGTGAGCTGAGATCGCGCCATTGCACTCCAGCCTGGGCAACACGAGTAAAACTCTGTCTCAAAAAAAAAAAAATATTGTCTCAGAGCAGCCCTCAGAAGAATAGATGATTGGGAGTGGTTTCACTCTTCCCTAGTTAATAAGACCGTGAGAAAGGATTCATCTTTCTTTCTGCCTTTAGGCAGATAAGATAAAATTCAGTTCAGAAAAAACCCCTCCTTCCCTGCATTTGCTGTTACCCCCAAGTGCCCTTATTTTGAAGCAATCAGCAGATCAGCAGATCAAAGTGTGTATCACTGTATTCCAATAAAACTTTATTTATGGACGCTGAAATTGGATTTTTTAATTTTCACGAGTCACAAAATATCTTTTCCCACACCTAACCATTTTAAAATGCAAAAACAGAGCGGTGGTTCATGCCTATAATCCCAGCACTTTGGGAGCCAGCGGATTGCTTGAGTCCAGGAGTTCGAGACTAGCTGTGGCAACACAGTAAAACCTTGCCTGTGCAAATAATTTTTTGTTTCTTTGTTTGAGATGGAGTCTCGCTCTTGTTGCCCAGGCTGGAGTGCAGTGGCGCAATCTCGGCTCACTGCAACCTCCACCTTCCGGGTTAAAGCGATTCTCTGGCCTCAGACTCCCGAGTAGCTAGGATTACAAGCGCCCACCACCACACCTGGCTAATTTTCGTATTTTTTTAGTAAAGACGGGGTTCCACCATGCTGGCCAGGCTGGTCTTGAACTCCTGGCCTCATGATCTGCCTGCCTCGGCCTCCCAAAGTGCTGGGGTTACAGGCGTGAGCCACCGCGCCCGGCAGCAAATTATTTTAAAAATTAGGGCCGGGCACGGTGGCTCACGCCTGTAATCCCAACACTGTGGGAGGCCAAGGGGGGTGGATCACGAGGTCAAGAGATCGAGACCATCCTGGTCAACCTGGTGAAACCCCGTCTCTACTAAAACTACAAAAAATTAGCTGGGCATGGTGGCGCGTGCCTGTAATCCCAGCTACTCAGGAGGCTGAGGCAGGAGAATTGCCTGAACCCAGGAGGCGGAGGTTGCGGTGAGCTGAGACCGCACCATTGCACTCCAGCCTGGGTAACAAGAGCGAACTCCGACTCAAAAAAAAAAAAAAAAAAAAAAAAAAAATTAGCCGGGTAAGGTGGCGCACGCTTGTAGTCCCAGCTATTTGGGAGACTGAGGTGGGAGGATCGCTTGAACCCAGGAGTTCGAGGCTGCAGTGAGCTATGATTGCGCCACTGCACTCCAGCCTGGGCGACAGAGAGAGAGCCTGTCTCAAAAATAAAAAATAAAAATAAACTGGAAAAACAATTCTTGGCTCACTAGCTGTCCAAAAACACGGCCCACTGCACTTCAGGCTGCAGGCTACAGTCAGCTCACCCTCGCTGACCCACTGCCGCGCGCAGGACAGCACCGCTGGGAGGTCGGTGCCAGGAGGTGGGCCTCGGATTGGGCCTCACGTACTGTGCGGGACAGAGGATACGGCATCCTGACGTAAGCGCGGTTGGGCGGGGAATGCCCGGATTGGCCCACTCCGGCGACACAGAGCGGGCGGCATATCGGCAGTCAGCCAATCAGCGCGGCGCTGTTGTCTCGCCCCGCCTCGCGCCGGCGTCTGGGTGGTGCGCAGAGGGCTCCCAGTTTCACTGAGCTCCCAGCGCTCACTTCCGGGCACGGTCGGGGCTTGACGTCGGGAGGAGGGCAGGTAAGTGCGGAGGATCGGGGAAGGCCGGGATCCGGCCGCCGCCTCACCCGGGCCTCGGAGCCACCTGGCTCGCCCGTCCGCGTCGGGGGACGCGGAGCTGAGGACCCGAGTTGGATGCCCGGAGCCGGCCTAGGTCCCAGCCACGACCAAAGTCCCCGAGGCCCCAGCTGAGACCCCCGACCCAAGTGCCCGGGCCCCGGTTCCATCCTAGCCCGCATCCATATTATGGGCCCCTTGGTTTCCGCGTCGGGAAAATGGGACCAGTAAGTCCCTACCTCACCAGATTTTTTAAAAATGATGCTTGTAAAACCGTGAGCAAGAGAAATTAAATTACTAAACTGCCAACGTTTAACTCGGTGTCAGGCGCTGCTCTAAATGCCTTAACCAACCATTTTACACATAAGGAAAGCGAGGCTTAGAGAAAACAGTTTGCCCCAAGTCAAACAGATGGGCAGCAGCACGGTGGCACTCCGAGCCCGAGCTGTAAGCCCAGGACAAACAGGGTCGGTAATTACTTTTGCACGAAGGACCGGAGATATCTACACGCCCCGCCCCCCAATAGCCCCATCTGTCATTTACTGGGGCAGTAAAACCATCTTAAGACACGCACACCCTCACGCTCCTGTAAACGGAATATTTGCTCTTTGCCGGCTCTTCCCATGTGTTATTTGATTCACAGCAACCCCAGAAAGTCAGCCTTGTCGTCATCATTCGCCCTTTACCAGTGACGAAATACAAGCCCGGGGAAGTGCAGACACTGACCAAGGTCACCCAGCTGAGTGGAGCTGGGATTCAAGCCCAGGGCCCCGTGACCCCTAAGGCCTCCAGGGGCACTTACCTATTTTGTTGGCAAAAGTATTTTTAGGTTCGAACAGACCTTGGAATTATCTAAACTAAGGGGCATACTTTGTAGTTGGAGTATCCAAGACTAAGATGAGCGCAGAACAGTTTATATCCAGGACTTGAAACCACTGCCTCCCCACCTCATCACATAGCCCCCACCCCATCAGAACCTCGTTCATTTGCTTATTTTCTTTTTTTTTTTTTTTTTTTTTTTTTGGAGACGGGAGTTTTGCTCTTGTTACCCAGGCTGGAGTGCAATGGCGCGATCTCGGCTCACCGCAATCTCCGCCTCCTGGGTTCAGGCAATTCTCGTGCCTCAGCCTCCCGAGTAGCTGGGACTACAGGCACGCGCCACCATGCCCAGCTAATTTTTTGTAGTTTTTAGTAGAGACGGAGTTTCACCATGTTGACCAGGATGGTCTCGATCTCTTGACCTCGTGATCCACCCGCCTCGGCCTCCCA